TATTATTTATGCAAATTAAAAATTAAAAAATATAAAAAAGAAAATATTAAAATATAATATATATATATATATAATCTAAAATACTATATTTAAAATATCAATCAATCGCGATCAGTCGTTCGACCTGTAAAGACGTGAATTCGAACAGCCTTCGCTTAAGCTCTACTGCTGCAGAGTTCTAAAAATAGAACTTTGCGGTGCATTCTTCAACGCAACAGCAACAAAAACCGCACACGCAGCGTTTTCTTATCGCTTGCTTCCGCGTAACTCAATTGCTTTAATTGCAATTTACGAAATTTCGTCGCTTGGCGCGAGTGCGCCTGCACTCAAAAGCACAATCCGCGATGACATCTAATGTCAATGACCGCGCTACAGCTGTAAAGGTAAATGCAGAAATGCAAGCCCAGCTTAACGTTGTGATGGCAAATAGGCAAGCCTCCATCATGCCAATAAACTCAAAAATAGATATCGCCTCCGTGCAAGGCATCACTAACAACAAAAACACGAAACGTAAACAGCCAAATTCACCAAAAACCATCAAGAAAAGGCTCATCTTCGACGAACCAAGCACCAGCAATGCAGCATTAATATCAGAAAATCGATTTTCACTGCTCGTAGAAGAAGATGAAGACTACAGCGAATCACCTGTAGCTCCAGAAGCCCCAGTATTGACCGACCAGCAAACTACACCGAAACCTCGTCCGCCCCCCATATGGTGTCCAAACATCAAGTCTGTGGCCCTACTTCAACAGATAATAGATAAAGTAATTGATGCTAAATCATACGTAATTAAGCCAAAGAAGAATAACATAGGTGTATTAACCCAATGCAGTGAGGACTATCGCAGAGTTATAGACCACTTTACTAAGCTGGAATTGGAGTTCCACTGCTACCAGCTTAAGGAGGACAAACCATATAGAGTCGTGTTCAAAGGGCTTCACTCCAGCACTGATACAACACTAATTAAAAAGGAATTGGAAACCAAAGGCCACACAATTACAAATGTGCACAACCCACTGAGCCGTATGGACAAAACACCGCTAAATATATTTTTTGTTGACGTGGCTCAGGCCCCCAACAACAAAGAAATTTTGGACATTCGAGTTGTCTGCAGGCAACGCTGCACAGTGGAACTGCCAAGAAGATACAACGACCTGACACAATGCCATCGCTGTCAAGAATTTGGACACACACAACGCTACTGCCACAAAGCTCCCAGGTGTGTGCGTTGCGCCGGGAAACACGCATCCAAAGACTGCACCCGCGAAAAGGACCAGGCACCAACTTGTGTGCACTGTGAGTTACAGCACCCAGCCAACTATAAGGGCTGCCAAGTATACAAGCGGTTGCGCAAATTGCAATCCCCAGCACAAAAAAGGAGTCCCACACAAACACCGTCTACGGGTCCGAGTACTGCTTCCGAAATTACAAGGCCCCGGAGCATTACCCAAGCCACGAGCTTTGCAACGCCTATTAGTGGTGTTTCTTACGCACAGGCCGCTAGAGGTGGACCGTCAAATAAGAATACCACAAGTGACACTTTGTTCACTGAAATGCTTCAGCAACAACAACGTCAGTTTGACGCAATTAATGCCGAGCTCAAAGCGATGCGAGAAGTACAATCCCAACAAGCAACCATGCTAAACAGTTTAATGGCCATCATAACCAAGCTTGCCTACAAATAATGGCTTTACGTGTGGGTATCTGGAACGCCAATGGCCTGAGAAACAAGACTCAGGAACTGGCTGCGTTTCTCTCACAAGAAAACATAGATATAATGTTAATAACAGAAACTCATGAGTGCCCCACTACACAAATTTTCGGATACGAACACTATCAGGCTCATGGTGAAGGAGCAAACTGCTTTGGTGGATCCTCAATCCTCATACGAGCAACAATACCGCATACACCTTTACTGTCAATTTGCAACGCAACAATGCAGGTCTCAGCCATCACCCTGCCTACGTCTATTGGAGCGATCGAAGTTGCGTCAATTTATCTTCCGCCAAACACTGGTCTGTGTGATCATCACATGGAACAGGTTCTAGGCCAAAGGTTGAATAAGACCCTCATCGGCGGCGACTGGAATGGATGGCACCCATTTTGGGGAAGCAATAGTGCGAATCGTCGCGGAGAAGTCATATTTGAGGCGATTCAAAACTTACAATTCAGCATATTGGCGACTGGAGCCCCCACCCGTTACCCAATTAATGGACACAGGCCCTCGGCAATCGACTTCGCTGTCTACAAAGGCATCTGTGACCGGCAATTGACCATTGAAGAATCCTTGGACCTATCCTCTGACCACCTGCCACTAATAGTCACAATCCACGCGCAGCCACAGCCCTTGCCCATTAGGAAACAACTACTGCCAGCAGGATCAGATTTAGGAGTCTTTAGGCGCGAGCTCCATTACTCTTTGCACATAGAAATGGAACTTAACACTCCTGAAGACGTGGACTACGCAGCAAACAAACTGCAGGAAGAAATAGTCAAAGCTGCGCACCAAGCCGCCCCACCATCTTGCCAAACAAGACAACAGTCTCCGTACAACATCCCCCTCACCTTGGAGGCCCAACACCTACTAATACACAAAAGATGGGCCAGGAGACGCTGGTTAAGATTACGCACGCCTGATGCCAAATCCACGTACAACGAAGCCACGAGGCATCTTAAAGCTGCTCTCGCCCTGCTTCAAAAGAGGTGTATCAGCGATGCGCTGGTACGAGCTGAATCGCCCACTGACGCAGAGTTTCAATTATGGAAATTTACAAGAAAGCTCAAACGGCAGCCAATACGTCGACATCCCATTCGGAGCATTTCTGGTTCCTGGCACATTGGTGACGAAGCTCAAGCTGAGGCTTTTGCAAACCACCTTCAAGACCAATTCACGCCGGTGATTACCGCAGAGGCCTCAGAAATCGAAGCAACAGAAGACATCGTTCTCTCGCCCCTCCCAGCTGAAGACCAGATAACTGGATGTACAAAAGAAGAGGTTCTTGAACACATCAGAAGAGTGAAGGCAAAAAAATCCCCTGGATATGATCTAATAAACGGCAGAGTCCTTAGAGCACTGCCTGACTCCACCATAGACTACATAACTATGGTGTACAACGCCATGCTCCGCATCCGGCACTTTCCAGCCTGCTGGAAGCGCGCCGTGATTGTGATGATTCCTAAGCCTGGCAAACCCGTGGGAGAAATTGAGTCGTACAGACCAATTAGCCTGTTGCCAGTACTCTCCAAAATATTCGAAAGAATATTTCTGGAACGAGTACTGACACATCTGGGACGCCAGGAGGCCATTCCAAACCATCAGTTTGGCTTCAGGAGACAGCATGGAACACCGGAACAGGTTCACAGAGTTGTGCACCATATCCTTGGAGCCTTTGAAGAAAAGATGTACTGCTCTGCCGTCTTTTTAGACATCAAACAGGCGTTTGATCGAGTTTGGCACCTGGGACTGCTGCAGAAAGTGAGGACCACCCTTCCAGCCCCATTTTTCGCGTTGCTATCCTCATACCTTATTGGAAGAACCTTCCAAGTGTCAAGGGGGCAAGCAGTATCCTTGACTAGACCAATTATGGCTGGAGTACCACAGGGTAGTGTTCTAGGCCCAACACTTTATACTTTATTCACAGGAGATATGCCAACTCCCGAGCCAAATATAGGAAGTACAGATGCAGTACTCATAGCGACCTATGCAGATGACACCGCCATCTTATCACGTCACGTATCTGCGCAAGAAGCTTCAGACTCACTACAAAAATATCTGGACTCTTTCGGACGCTGGGCAAAACGGTGGTGTATCACCATTAATGCACAAAAGTCTGTACATACTACCTTCGCCACTAGAAGAGGAGATTGCCCAAGCGTTGCATTGGGGCCCACTATTCCCAAAGCCTCAAAAGTAAAGTACCTTGGTATCACTCTTGACAGAAGGCTGACTTTTAAAGCGCACATAAGTCAAGTAACCTCAAAATGCAAAAGCAAGCTAAAAACCCTCGACTGGATGCTGAGAGCTTCAAGCAAGTTGTCTTACAGCAGCAAGGCCGCCATCTACAAGGCAATAGTTGTCCCAACCTTCGTATATGGTATCTCTCTATGGGGCTCCTCGGCGAAGACTACAAGGAACAAAATTCAGACCCTGCAGAATAAAGCACTACGCAGATGGACTGGAGCCAGCTGGTTTGTAAGAAACTCAGTCTTACATAGGGATTTAGCAATTCCCACAGTTGCTGAACTCATTGGGCGACACAGTTCAAGATACGCGGACAGACTTGCAGCGCATCCTAACCATCTCGCAAGCAACCTGGCTATAAACAACAATAGGCGAAGACTGAAGAGATTGCATCCTCTAGACAATATTAGAACTAATTAAGATAGTAGCTACAAGTGCAGAATAATTGGCATATCTGCCCTCCCATTAGTTAAGGTTTAGAGCTAAATGCGCTATAGAGTCTAAGACAATAAGCTGCAACAAAATAAAGAAAAAAAAAAAAAAAAAAAAAAAAAAAAAAAAAAAAAATATTTAAAATATGTATACTATATAATAATCTACTTAAAATATAAATTTTAAATAAATATAATAATAAATAAAAAAATATATTCAAATAAAAAATACAAAATTAGAGATTTAAATAAATATTTATTAAAAGACATTTACTTCACATTTAATTTTCATTATTATTTTATTTAAGTGAAATAAGTTCACACTCTTGTTGTCTAGTGTAATTTACGATATGCATTCTACATCGGGCTGCTCTGTCCTGTCTTGGCTTGTCGCTCTATCGATGCATTGCAACCCTCCGCTCCGACTTATCAGAGAGACGCTTCGTCAGATAGAGAGAGAGAGAGAATGATGTGTGTGGAACAGGAATAGAGCAAGGGTCGAAAATTATCTAGCGGATGTTTTTGTTATTATTATACTCGATTTTCGGATTCTCGAGCTCTCCAGCTAAGCATCGTTTGGCCCTTGGAAATCAGTGCTGAATTGAGACTCAACACGATCGGTTGATAGAATGAGAAACTCTTGTGTAGCTCTCTGCCTGTGGCTCTGCGTGCTAGGCACAAGTCTGGCTGTAAGGGAAAACTATTGCGAACGGAATGTGACAACGAAGACTTTGATGCCGGTCACTAAGCAACGGACTGTGATCAAACAGCCTCCCAAGTGGAAGTTGTGGAAGAAGGCGGAGAAGATTACCGAATTCTACAATACGCACGAGGAGCAGATTAGCTACAAGCTCGTTTCGGAATGTTGCCCGGGCTATTTGCAGGTGGAGTCCGAACTGTGTGAGCCCGTGTGTGAGCGTGGCTGCCCCGCTTTTGCAAGCTGTGTAGCTCCACAGCGCTGTCAATGCACCACCGGCTATATCTCGGCCGTTGCACATCGCGATGGCAGCCACTACTGTGAACCCATCTGCGAGCGCAGCTGTCCAACGGGCTCACATTGTGTGGCTCCAAATACATGCGAGTGTAAGCCAGGCCATCAGCCTTTGCCGCCCACCGGAGATGGAGTTAGTGCGCCCTGTGCACCTGTTTGCCAGGTGGGCGATGGCTGTGCCAATGGCCAGTGCGTCGATGTGGAAGTCTGTGCGTGTAATCGTGGCTATTTCTGGAATGCCGAGAGCAGCAGCTGCCAGCCGCGCAACAACGAGATGATGATGTTGACCAGCGATGATGTCACCGAGCTGGAGGAGCACCTAAACAAATCACCATCCACCCCATCGGCCTTCATTGCCGCCGACTGTGAAGTGGGCTTCATACTCTATGCGGGCGAATGTCGCGCCGAGTTCTTTGAGAGCAGCGATGGCAAAGCAAAGGAAAGCCATTGTACTCCAACGAGCTGTGGGCAACATCAGACCTGTAATGCTGAGGGCAAGTGTGCCTGCAATGCGGGCTATGTGGAGGAGGAGCGAGAGGATGTGAATGCAAAACTCTCGTGTCGTCGTGGCCTGCTGGAGCAACTGTTGAGCATCGATCAGGCTGCCGATGATGACAATGAATTAAACACTCTAACTATACCCATTGTGGGCGTGGCATCGGGTGCACTGTTAGTGATTGTGATTGTGGGCCTGGTCACTAAAGTGAGTCGGCGACGCAAGCATGAACCGAACGAATCACTGCCCGAGGAGCCGGTGCTACAGTGTGAATATACGCAGAAGTCATACGATGTGGATGAGTGGGTGCCATAGAAAGAGGAAGAGAAGCCCAAGGAGCCGAAGGAGCAGATGCAGCCGCTAGAGGGCATTGGCTGTGTGTGTTGAACTTTTAAATAGTTATCGCTTAAGTTTATGTCATAAATAAATGTTTTAGATTGTTTTTTAGAGCAAAATTTTCTTCTACATTTGATCGAAGAACGAATTGTTAGAATTTGAATTTAATTCCCACAGAATTTCGTTTGGGCTGCTCCGAAAGCAGACTAAAGAAAGAAAGAAAGGGAATTATTGAATGAATAGAGATCAAAGTCAATTTTATGGAAAAGGGCAAACCGAACACATGGGAGAATAGGGAAAGGCTCACATAGAGCTATTCTATTCTTTGAGAGTGACTGGTAAAGAGGGAATCATACAGAGAGAGACAAACAAAGAGAGGGCGAGACTGGGACTGAGCGAGGCCATATGTAAACAAGCTCTACATACCTCTTCAAAGGCCCACGTTGGTCTCATCCACAATTCCTCACTCAACTAAGGATCGTTCTCATGCTAAGCAGGTAGTTTTATATATTATATTTAGCTATTTTTAACAATTTTATAGCTAAAAGCAAGCTGCATTGGTCGAATTGCGAGCCAGTTTTTGGCTCTTTATGACATTGTAGTATGGTTAGGTACTCAAAAGAAACAATGCATATAAAATTAATGTTAATTTGTAGACCAAATTATGAGACTTAACCAGGGAATACGGCATATAAATATCCCAAACAAAACAAATTGATTTATTTTTCATAATATTAAATGTCGTAGCAGGCTCCATTGCACTCTTATTTTAACTATAAAAACTCATCATTATTAATAACAATTGTTTATCAAATCTCACATTTCTCTCATTATTCAATTGTATAAGCTGCATATCTTAAAGGAAAACTGATTCATGATTTTGCTGCACTTTGACTTTTGCTCTTCGACTTTCTTGCACACACACACTCTCTCTTGTTGTCATTGCTCTCAGATATAAATGTTTACTCAAGGACAAGTTGATAAGCGACATAAATTAAAGAGATTTATCAGCGGACATACAAAGACAATAACAATTCTTTTCTTCTTTTTACCAAGAGTAATTAAAATAAAATAAGAGTTTTATCAGCAGCTCAGCCAGCTGACAGCAGAATATTAATTGTCATATATAGTCGAAGATAAATGATCTGCCAGCTTGCTGCTAGACACCGATTTTATTCTAGCAGAATTTTAAATTTGATTTAGAAACTATTTTAGAGGTTTTGGAACTTGTCAGACTATGAGACTGTTGTATAATATAATGGATATTAGTTCATGAACAAAAAGCTAAAAATAAATATAAGAAACATATATTTAAAATGTGCTTAAAAATGTTTGAAAGATGTATTAAATTATTAAAGGAAATATATAAACTAATTAAATTATTTAAAAAAATAAGTATAAAAAAGTATAAAACAAAATGAAAGAATAAAAAATATTTTAAAATAAAATACAAATTTTGAAAAATATTTTAAAAATGAAAAATACTAAAAATATGAAAAATATTTAATTAAAATTTTAATTTTAAAAAATTTGTTTAGTTCAGACCAAGTTTTTCCATATTTCATTCTCCATCATTCTCTTCTCTTATCAAGTTATATATGCTTTTATCTTTAATCAATTTCAATTTCAAGATCTTTCTAGCGAAATCAAGAATTTGTTGCATTTTTTCTGATTTTGACACGAATTGCATTTAACTGCCTTGCAGCACTTTCTTTTTAAGTTTACCTTAGTTTATTTTTAGCATTTCGAATTGAAACAATTTGTCAACATTTAAATGAGACACATAATAATATGCTACATCATATCAAATGAACATATGTAACCGCAAATATCGTGCATTTATCGCTCGAAACGGGCCAAGCGAATTGGTTCCCCAAGCAGTCATATATGCACTCATCTGCCGATTACGGGCACATATATATATAAATAAAAAATTCATAAAAAAGAAAAGAAAAAAATTGAAAATGGCTAAAAATACGCACGCACACACAGAGGCCTGCTGTCACTCTCACTAATGTAGCTGAGAGTTTTTTCTTCTTTTTTGTAGTCATCGCTTTAATATCCATAGCAATTTTTTATCAGCTTCAGATATACATACATGCAAGCCATATGCGTTTGCGTGTGTGTGTGCGTATCTGTATCTGCAGTTGTATTCGTATCAGTAGCCTGTGTATCTGTAGCTGTGACAGCAGCACACAGATCTTTTAGCCATAATCGCTGCACATTTATATATTTTTCGCACTAACCCACACACATAAACAAAGATACGCACACACTGGCTGAAGCTTTAAGGTGCGCAATAGACAGTGAGTGCGAGAGCAAAGCGCGTGAGATGAGAGCGAATGCGTGAGAGTGCGTGAGAGCGCGTAAACTTTGGCAGGCAAAATCTTGAGCAGAAAAAAAAAACTGAAAACACACAAAAAAAAGACAACCAACAAGCAATTTCTGACAGCAGCAGCAGCAGCCAGTCAAGCAACTACCCTAACCTAACCTTAGCCCTCAGTTCCCTCTCCCGCATGCCCATATTTCCTTTGGCGTTGGCGTTGGCTCTTGCAGCAGCAACAAGGATACTTAAAGCTTCTTTAATTTTTATGTTGATTTTTTTTTATTTTTTTTGTTTTCTCTTCTTTTTGTCGGCGCACGTTGAGTGCGTCTGTGCCCCACTGTGCGAGTGTGTTTGTGTGTGTCTCAACCATTCTCTTTGATTGCTTTTGTGCGTGTGTATTTGTATTGGTAACCTTTGCTGGCTGTGCCAACATTTTTGCGTGGGACGTTGCCCAAGGACATGGACTCGTTTGCCTCGTTTGCCATTTGCTTTACTATTCCTGCTGCTGCTACTGCTGCTGCTACCGCTGCTTCTACTTAGTCTAACTGCTCTCTTATATGTACATGTCTATGTATATATATTTCTCTCTTTTTTTATTTTCGTTGCATACCTACTTTCTTATTTATTTATTATTTGTTGTTTGCAACATTTATTTTTGGCCAAGCACTAAAAACGTGGCAGGTACTGCATTTTAATTGAATGGAGACTTGACAAAAGGCTAAGGTTGGCACGTTTTACATTTAAATATGAAATTTGCTCTTAAAATAGAACTGTTGGCAATCCATCTACAATAGGAGGAGAAAGAGAGACATTTTATGGTTTAAGAATTTTAGAAAAGTCTGTCTAACAAGTGCAATAGAATCGAATCAGAGTTGCTTTAGACAGTTGCTTAAAGTTCTTTTTAAGCTTTGTGTAAAACAAGGCAATTTTTTATTGTCTGCGATTACTATGCCAATCTCAGCTTGGTAGTCAAATTAACTTGAATATTTCAATTAAGAAACTCTAAAGCCAACTCTTTTCACTGTTTATATTTTGTTTGTCTTGGCTTATAAGAAACATTTTTATATCTATATAGTGCAGGTTTTATATGAATATTATTAAAAAAAAGACAAAACAATATGTATGAAAAATTTAAAGAATATTTAAAAATAAATAAAATAAATCAGTAAATCAATAAAATAAATAAATTTAATTAATAATTTAAAAATATATAATTTATAAATAATAAATAAAAAGTAAATGAATATAAAATACAAAGCAAAATATATACATGTCTTAATAATATATAATAAATATATTAAAAAAATAAAATAATTCTAAACAATTAAAACACAAAAAATATAAAAAAATATTACTTAAATTTTAATTTATATTTATTAAATTTATAAAATATAAAAACAAAGTAGAAATAATATTTATATAAATTAATTATTTGCCACATTCGATCTATCAAAAAAATGAAATATTAAGCTAAAAGCGAATTCTTTTAAAGTTAATTTTTGCAACTGATATGGATTTTTAACCTATTTGCGGCTTAATTATAATTAATTATATAATTATAAAGTCTTAATGTTATATAATTGGATACATATAACATTAAACATTGACCATAGACAAAGATAGAGTTTAAGAACAACATTTTTTTATTGGGTCCCTCGAAACTATTCATCGTATGATATTCATTTAGGAACACTTTAGTTCGATATACTAGACGACGATTTGAACCCAGCTATACTTTTTATATTTTCTGTTAAAGAAATCATATTCAAATAAATAAAAGCTGCTCTAGCAAAAACTTTAAGCCCTCCACATGTCCAATGCTTTATATCCCGATTCGTTTTTGTTTCCTTGCACTTTTTTCACTTGTGCAGCTCTGAGAGCATTTCGTAGCTTATTGGTATTTTATGACGCTCAAATTGATTTATTAAGCGCAACAAGCAACATAAAAGAGAAGAAAGCATGGAAACTTCCGAGCGTAGCAATTCCCCAAAGTTGCAGCTTAGCTGTTGCTTCTCACTTTTCTTATTCCATTTTATTTATTCATATTTTGCTTATATTTTTTGACAGCGTCTTGTATATGCTGTTGCAGCTGCAGCTGATAAAGCTGAAGAATAATGGGGCGTGCTGCTGCGTATTTTGCTATATACTTGTTGATGCCACACACACACACCCGTACAGAGAGCACCAGCGTCTGTTGCAGCTGCAAAAATGCATTGTCAGAAACTAGGTCGCTGCTCTTGCAGCTGCCCCTCTCTCTCTCTCTCTTCCTCTCTCTCTGTGCATGCAAAGCAGTTATCAAATATTAACCACTAGTTGCGCCCTGGTATAGAGCTGCCTGTTTGACTGTCAGCCTGCCACGCCCACCAGCGCCCAATTAACTGGCGACTTTTCGGTTAGCTACTTTATGGCCAGAAGTTTGCCTTTTTCGCCTCGTCTCTATTTCGTTGGAGCTGCAACTTTAGCTTTTGCCACTTTTGCTGTCACGCCCAGTTTAACAGCAGCAACATACAGCTGACCTATTTTTACCAGCCTCACACACACATACGCAGATTTTCACATTACTTACAGCTAAAGCAGGCGAGCGATACAGACACAGCCATGCTAGCTCACAGCTACACGTTGCGTATACGCCACGTTTGCATATGTATATGCCAGCTGCATAGCTGCACACGTGCGTGTGTGTGTGAGCAGGTGTGTGCGTATATCAAAATGCAACGGATTTCA